GCCGTTTCCTGACGGACAATGCTAGGCTCTACTTAGGATCCTTTGCTGTAAGCACTCTTATAACTAATTGAGCTGTACTACCTGACTCTTCCGAAACACTCACTTTTCAGACAAAGCTCGGCTTGATTTCATGTGCTCAAAACTTCTTCATTTACTACAGAACCAGCAAGGATTTTCAGAAAGCGTTCAAGAAGATATTTGCATCGTGGAAAAAGTGGAGAAAAGAGAAATTACATTTACCTAAATCCGCAAAAGTTACCATGTCTGCTGCATTTGGTCAATGAAATTAGGTGCCGAAGTTGGAATCTTTTCTTGTATATAAGATCACTGTGAGTACTGTAAGCTGCATCGTCCATGGATAGAACCAGTGCAGTCTAACCCATTAGCAAATTTCCAGAACTGCAGTTATGGGTGGGATCAGGGTATCCACAATACGGGTAACCAGCATTCCCAGATTAGTTGAATCGGCTGACTGCAGTACTTTCAAGTTAGGTTAATCAGCTCGTAATGGCAAAACTCGCGGCGGCGCTGTAAGGACGACGTCGCTTCCGCCGCGCACGCGTAACCTGCGCCTCCCCACCTATACCATTTTGGTTATACTCCGCGATCTAGGGAGACGAAGATTCATCCTCTCGACCTCTCGTTAGGCTCCTGACAGGTCGAGCATTAGGCACATTAGGGATGAAGTAGGTGTCACTACCCTCCTCTCTCATGCTAGCGCTACCTCATTCTGGCCCGCCACTGGCCGTTAGAGACAGACCCCGTGCTCAAATAACCCGTAGGAATCCTTCCTTGCCCAGGTTGTCCGGTACGGTATACCGGCGCAGTTTGCCGTCGGGAGGCGGGAGGGGGGGGGCATTTTGCACTTTCGTTGCTTCACTAGTTCTGGTTTACAAGTCTCACTCTGGTGAAACCTGTGAACTCTTGTGAAGCTGGAGCAAGCTCGTCAAGCCATCATGGTAAAACCTGTCAACTCGAGAAGAGGCTGTCTAGATGGGTCGACACGTCGATGGGTAGTCATTGGAGTGCAAAATGCCCCCCCCCGTCGCCAAACAGCGCCGAATGTATGTATGCCGGGCAACGCCCCTCGTGTACTCTCCGTCGCGAATGTGGTAGCATACTTGCGATCATGAACCGACTGCTTGAGCATAAAAGGAATTCCTTTAAAACTGTCGTAGCTCAGGTGTTAGTATGTCACGGTTATTTGAGTATGTCCACTTCCTAGCACTCCACACTGTAGCTCCCTAGTAACCTGCAGGCCGAGTTCCATGTCAAATCTCTTATTATTGTTGCATTTGTTTTGCTTAGGTAATTGTTATAAATTTGTGAACATTATGCTACTTGTCTTCTTCACTGTACCGTAATCATAGGTCCAATACCTCCAAGTGTTGGAGCTTAGATTGCTCTTCGAACACACCTAATAAACTCAATCAGTTGCAGCTCGTTCTATTCGTGCTTCGCACGGAGATGAAAGTAAATGGGAGTAAACTTTTTGTAGATGTCAAACCAGTCAATACAACTTAGTTTTCATTTCTTCTATGGGAATAGTTTGGTGAAGGAGCTGATGCTATATGTGTGGGCTCGGTAAAAATAAATTACATGACGACTTTAAGCGAGATGCAGTGCAAGTTTCTAGGAACATCGCGGTGGCAAAAGACATTTACCTAACTTAACGAAAATAAAGTTGGATTATTAGGTTTACCGCAAACAGAGGCAAGTTGGTTTTAGTGAGCTGAGCCGACTCGGTAACGATAACGATTCTTAGGGAGTTGCTTTGTAAACGAGAAGCCAATAGGAAGAAATGCATAAATGAAGTTCAGAGAGTCATCTAGGAATAAGGTGAAACTAAGTTTCAAATCTGCAGTTAGCTTTGCCCCTACCTTGCAATCTTGAAAGTGATCTTTAAAAGCGTGGGCATGATGGCTGAGGGCGGGTGATTGCTGTCAACGTCGTTGGTGGAAGGGCTGAATGAAGAGTGACAAAGCGCCCTCTCGCAGACCTTCCACCAATGGCGATGGCAGCAGCCGCCCGCCCCCAACCATCACGCCCACTGCCTTTGAAGTCAGCATACAGGGGGGGGGGCAAAAAAAAGTCACTTTTCTTCGTTGACTTCGAGGCGCTATCTGATCGGACATTTCTACCACCATATTAAAGAGCATATTAAATACTATCATGACACTCCGCCACAGCCTTCTGGAGGAGCGCCATCGAGAGATTCTGCCACGCGACCGTGATTCGGCTGATTTCTCGGCCACTGCAGACCACCTTGTTGAGCTCCGCCCGAACTCGGTAATTGAGAGAGTTTAGGTCAGGGGACATACTTAAATATTCCATCTTCTTCAGGTACTCAACGCCCTTCCATTCCAAGTAGGCGAGAGTTTTTCCAACGCCCTTTGATTCCATGTGGTGGCACCCAAACCTGTAGCAGTACAAAGTTTCCAAGAAGGTACGGGCGACGACATGTAGGGAGGATATTCTTCTCGAGTTGCTCGATGTAACCGCCAGCGCTCACCTTCAGTCCGGGTCCACGAAGAAAATATCGGTCTTCCCTTTCAGGTACGTCCGGTCCATACCATCAACCCGCGCCTTGGCGACTGCGGTGAAGATGATGTCCTAGACCGTAGCGACGTTGTCGGAGCTGCTCGATGTTGGAGGTCTTCCAGATCGAGAGTACTGGTCTCCAGGTAGCTATCCATGGGTGACTCCATACTAGAAGTTTCGCAGCTGTTTGGAGGTGACATGAATTCCAAAGGTCTTCTCCAGTCAGGCTGCGACTGGAGAATTTTGGTGTACATGAAGGTGATGGGCGAGAGCCAGCTCCTGCTTATCGAGGAACATCTTGGGTATCTTGGTACTCGTATCCACGTCCTCTGTCTGGGCTGCGAAAACTTTGCTGATATGTGACTCGGTCGAAGTGACTTTTTTTGCCCCCCTGTATGTTATCTGTGTTAATGCTGTTTTAACAGCCTAAATTACTAAAGGAGACCGGCAAAACCTGCACACATTTCAATGCATACATTTACACCAAAATCTACTCATCACAATGAACAAACACTTTGATGACGTCGCCTTTCTGAGATCGCTTGAACGCGTCCAGGGCTTTGTCGAGGGTATAGTGAGCTCTCGTGAGTCCGGATAAGTCGATTTTCCGAGATGCCACAAGGTCAAGGGAAGTCGGATAACTGAAACCTATTTTGAAGAATTCTTATTTAGACGAAATGAGACGACTGGATAGATGGGGATGTAAGGAAAACGTGGAACGATAGGGTTAATTAAAGCTCCCACTGGTTAAAAATTAGGGTCAAAGGATGGCTCCATTCCTGAGCCTCCTGTTGACTATGGGTACCCAGGTGCTGGGCCCGGCCAATATCGATTGTGAACTACTTGCTTAAAGTTAGAGGGTGAGTATACTTACCAATTCACATATCTAAGTACACCTCTGATATCGACCTCTCGAAGTGCAGCATCTACCACAGGAAGTTCTTTTCTTGACTCTCCCAATCCAACCAGCACTACCACACCTCCCGAACGAGTACTCTGAGAAGTTCAGCATTCCATAAGAGCAGAACTGGTGGAGCTACTTGATCGCATACCAGAATCGCTGATTCGATGGACGGCTGTTCTCCGGTGCATTCTAAGGTGACGTCAGGCTCACTTCCCAGAGCTTCGACAATGGCCTGTCGCACCTGGGCAGGCGATTTACCTCTAAAATATATCTCAGTTATGGGATATTGCGAAACTGTAAGGCGACTTACTCAACATAAATCGCATGTTCAGCTCCAAGCTTTTTGGCTAGATCCAGTCGGACCTGGTTCAGGTCTGTGATGACGACTTCGGAAGCCCCCATCGTTCTCGCTGTCATCATGCAAAGCATGCCGATGGGACCTAAAAACAAAAAAAACAACAAAAAAGAAAACAATAAAAAACAACAACAAAAACAATCCCAAAAACGTGTTGACACGTGTCGTACCTGCTCCTTGTACCAAAACACGTTGTCCCATCTGCAGTCCAGATCTTCGACATGCATGCACGGCTACGGAAAGCGGCTCCAAGAGAGCTCCTTCTTCGAAAGTTACATGGTCGGGTAACCTGAAAGTAGATACGCTCAAAACCCTTGAGATGTAGTAGGCGTGGCCGTGCCTTCCCTAAGGCCGCGTTCATGCAGAAATGCCGAACCACGGAATGTGCAGAACTGCGGAATTTGCAGACGTGTGGAATCTGCAGAACCGCGGAACTTGCAGAAAAAGAAA